GGGTCTGCAATTGTTTATGCCAAATTTTTTCAACAATTTCTTGGCATATGCATTTTGATTTATGAGAACTGATCCATTTTTTGACTTCATGATTTCTATACCCAAAAAATATGATGCAAGCTTTATCGTGACTTTCAATTCTATCTCTGTAGTTGTAGAAAATATTTTTTCATTTCCTCATTGCTTGAGGCTAGTACACCATCGTCCACATATAAAACTTGAACAAGAATTTCTGTTCCTTCCCTCATGATGGAGAGACATGGATTAGCATCGCTCTGTTTGAAACCAAAGGATAGAATCAAATCCGTTATTGTTCTGTTCCAACACCTAGGAGCTTGCTTAAGTTCATATAGGTTCTTCCTTAGATGAAAAACCCTATTTGTACCATCATTGAAACCCTCTGGCTGTTTCACGTATACTTCTTCTTGAAGCTCGCACCATATAGAAATGCTGTAAGTACATAAATCAAACTCGCTTAGACTTAAATTTTCACTGTCAGATAGACTCAAAACAGATCGTATTGTAGCAAATTTAGCAACTGGGCTGAATGTCTCATCATAATCTTGATATTTCTTCTGTGAATAACTTTTTGTGACTACAGTACAACCTTGATAATCCAAACTAATTATTGCTAAAGGTCAGTTCGGATTACCGATTTTATCAAAATACGTGGTAAATTTAACTTAAATATGCAAATAATCAAAAATAATCTTTATTTTCCAAGAAAAATATAAATGTGATACGTAATTAACTCTGAGTTTAATTATTTACCTAATGTAATGTAATGCAATTTTTATCTGCTTCATACTGGCTGTTTCTCCCATTTCCGCCTTTTTTTTTCATTTATTTGAGGGCCGATTTATTCACCATCTGATAAATGGTCAGGTATGCAATCTGACGGATAAAAGCTCAATCTGTAATCTCATTGGAAACTTTGTCATTGGTCAGCCAGTTATCCGCCAACCAATGGAATTATAAAACGATACATTTATCTTGCAGATAGTTAGGTGCCAGGAAGACTAATAAACCGGGCTTTAGAAGAAAAACGTTTTCAGCTGTTTCAGAGTTTTTTTCTGTCCATTTCAAACAAGTTTGGAAACATTTAACTGCTTCTTTGTGAGTCACGTTGGTCGGTACGAATGGTACGATTCTTCAGATTTTTCTTCGGATTCTTCTGATCCGGCTGTGAGAACATTATTAAGACGCGTACAGACCGAATTTTCAACGTAGACCAACGCCAAGGGCACATGTGCTATCGTTGGCGTTGGAATTGGATAGAATTGAAAAGGATTTGAGAACATCGTCTACACCGCCGTAGTACACACCAAAGCCAACGAGTTCCAACATAGTTCACATGTGCCGTTGGCTAGCGTAAGAAATTTGGTTTGAACACGGCTTAAAGTAGTTCCAAAAACAGTTCTCCTCTAAAGACTTCATTTTTCTTCTTATACCCATTTTCCAGTCATTTGCTCTATTACTTGACATAGCTTTTCGGTACTTAATTGGCTCATTTATTTCCATAATGTCTGCAGCAACCATCATAGCGAAATCTTCAAATTTGGCAGGCTTTTGTATCCGATTTCTATCTCTCAGTTGTCTAGTCAGTATATTTAGAATTTCTTCTGTAATGTCATTATCTGGTGATTCTATTTAGATGTCAGAACGAGTGTCAGAAAAATTGTGATTCCCCAAACTATCATCTTTTTCGCCGTCTTGTCCATTGTTTTCTTTAGTTTCTTGTTCTGGAGTACCTTCCCTGCTTCTGACAATCTTATACAATTAATTGTTTTGCTGAGAAGTTCCAACAGAGTCTTCCAACAATAGCAACTTTGAAGTTATGAGCTTTTCGTCGAATATCACATCTCTCGATCTAACTAGTTTCTCAGATTCCTCACACCAAATCCGATATCCATCATCTTGGTCATATCCTATAAGTACCACTGCCTTTTTATCAATTTTCTTTCTTCCTGACTTTTCATGTGTTTTGGAGAAGGCTTTTTCTCATACCACAGTTCAAATGGAGATTATCCTTCGATACTAGAATAACCAGTCCTATTCAAAATGTATGCCGATGTATTTTTTATTTCAGCCCAAAAAAGTTGTGAAAGATCTTCATTGGTATGCATGATGGATCTAGCAGTTTCAACGATAGTACGATTATCTCATTCTGCACAACAATTTTGCTCTGGTGTATAATGCATTACAAGTCTCTGTTAAGGTTTGATTCTACTTTCTGGTAGAATTTTTCTTACTTGACCATTGTCAAATTCTCTACCATTATCTGAGAGTAACTCTTCTACTGTATAGTGTATGTTCTACTGTTTTTACTTCAGTTAAGATAATTGTCAATTCTTCTGCAATTTCACATTTTTCTTCCAGAAAGTAGGCATAACGATAACGACTGAAATAATTCTTGCAGAGCACGAACGAAGTATTTATAACCACTGTTGGATTTGTCAAAAGGCCCACAAACATCTGTGTGTAAGAGTTCTCCTGGTACATTTGCTGTTTCTCCCGTTCCAAACTTTTTCCTGTGCATTTCACCATAAACACAACTCTCACATATTTCGCTGTCTGCATTTGAGGTCAAACTCACGACTCAAAATATCTTTGATGTGTCGTTTATTTTGATGACGAAAGCGTTCATGGTATAGTTGCAATAAGTTATCATTTGAAACTATGTTGATTTGAGCTGTTTCCTTTGGCTTTATGATCTGCAATGCTAGTTTGTACAGTTCTCCAAATCTACTTCTTCCACCTATCAGTATGGTTTTACCACCAACTATAAAACTGCATTTTTTAGTGCTTGAAGTCTTTGATGTAGGCTGTGAATCTTGTGCATGTAAAACCGAAAATAAATTCTTTTTAATCAGAGGAACGTACCATACGTCTGATAACGTCAGAACATCTTCTTTGTCTTGAACTTTGTACCAGAATGTTTCCTTTTCTAACTGCTCTAACCATTTCTCCATTCGCTGTCGTTATGGTGTGTGTATCTTGAATATATTCAAATGTTTCAAAGATATCACCTGGATTTGTAATATGACTTGTAGCCTCATTATCCACAAACCAGCTATTCTCCTCACATTCGCTAAATAAGACACTACTTGTTAAGGCAATTAACATCATATTTGTATCCCTATTTTTCTGTGTTCTGTTATTTCCTGAATTTGAGCTTTTTCGTTTTGGAGGTCTACCCTCTTCTTTCCATTTAATACATTGTTTGACCTTATGACCTCTTTTGCAATAATTGCATTTGGAATACCTTTTAGAAGAATGTTCATTTTATACTTCCATGTGGTCCAATTAGCTTTAGCTTCCAAATCTTATATGAACTTTGCTTTGATCCATCCTTCAAAGTTCAATTACTACTTTTTTGTACTAATTCAGCCCTTGATATTCTCAATTTTTCTCGCATCTTTTAACGCTCTGCTACCATGTTAAAGTTTGAGAAATGATACTGCTTTTTGAAATATAAAAATGGTCTTAAGACTTCAATAAACATGTGGAATGTTCTTCAACATTTTAATTGTATCTAGTGTTACATGACAATATGACTACGTTTATTTCACACGTTCTATCCAGATACTTATTGAATTGGATTAATAATGGAGATTAATAATCCTGAAATAAACACCCAGGATTAGACAGTTCATCCGGGTCGGATACTTAATCCGATCCTCCAAATTTGTAGGATTGGATTTAAAATGGATTATCTCAAATGTGAAATGAACACTCCAAATCTCGGATTTAAGAAGTTTGTTGCTAACTTCAAGAAAAAATTACCTAAACCTAATAAAAAGTATATCAACTGATTGCCTTTAATGGAAGTCAACATAAAGCAATTTGGGCTTGCGCTTTTGACAAGGCTTAAGAAAAGATTACCATTAATCTTAATCCATTTGATACTCGCGAAATAAACGAATATGGATTAATAATTCTTAATTCACTTAATATCCGGATACAACGCATCAAATAAACGTAGTCAGTGGTTTTCATATCAAAATTGGCTTTGGAATTTTGAAGACTGTCTCGTTCTGTGCGGCTGTGCGTATTATGAATGGATTATTGCAGAAACAAAATAAATCATTAAAAAGCCTAGTCCAGACCTACATACACTACCCACAAATCAATGTTTGGAAGCGAGTAAAAAAACAAAGTTTCCCATCCTGACGGGAAACAAAAAACTTTGAACATTTGTTTAAATGTTTTTAAGCAAATATTTGCAAACACATTTTGGACAGTTTTTATACAGTTTTTATACAAATGTTTGTACCAATTACGTCCAGACTAAAGGCAAAAACATGTCACCAAATAGCATTACCGCTGATACGATTGCTTAAAACAACAATTTGATTTGGACACGTGCAGACTTGCTTTAAAAGCGAGTATAAAAACAAAGTTTCCCATCCTGACGGGAAACAAAAAACTTTAAAACATTTGTTTAAATGTTTTTAAACAAATGTTTGCAAACACATTTTGGACAGCTTTTATACAGTTTTCAAACAGTTTTTATACAAAAGTTTTAATGTTGGCGAGCAAATGAATGTAGGTCTGGACTAGGCTTCAAGTACAAAATGTAAAAAAATCAACTTTCAAAGTAGTTACTTAATTCTCTTGAAATGTTACTGACTGTCGTCAAAGTTTCTGTCGTTTACTTCAAACCATCTACACTATACAATAAAATCTGGAACTTTCAAAAAGTGACAGTGGCTTAGAGTAAGCACATAAGTATTTAACTCCTGACATTTCCAAGCACACATTTACAATCAAATCATTGCCACAGCTAAAACATAACCGACATCGAATCCTAGAGAGAAATTTTGGCACACAACTGAAAAAAAAAAAACATGCGTCACATATTTGTAGGAAATATTTGATTTGTTGCCTGATTTTCCACCAGACGGAATTTATTGTCATAAAGTTTTCCAGCGGCGTGTAACATTAATTTAAATTTGGTGCCATTTGTTTTCAGCCCTGTAATTTTGTTATTTTTCAAGATGAATCTGGAGAAACAGGATGAGCGGAAAAAGAAGTTCTCGATTGAGATACCGGAAATATTGCGACCCATCGAACGAGTTAGTTCGGTTCGCAGTTTTTTGTATTGGAATATCGTTGACGATGCGGTAAATACTTGGATTGTTTTCGTTTGCATCCCTTCTCTCTGTTGATTTGCTGTGGATGCTGAAATAATTATTTACTAACCAAAAGCATGTTTTTGATTGTCTAATATTAATTTGGTTCAAATTGGCTTACCAATATAAAATATAAAAAATTTATTTCAATTATTCTCTTATTGAGATTTGGGAATTAAACTTACATTGAAATTTGAAGAAAAACTTCTAAAATCAAATTTATGAACAACAACAAAAATTATATTCATGAACTTTTTTAAAAAAAAAAACCCGAAAACAATTTATAACCTTTTTTGTCAAGCCTGACCTTGCAACGCCAGTTAAATTCTTATCTTACAAGTATTGTTTCTTAATTATTGTTTGTTTGATTAAAACACGATAATTTGGTAAATTAGCTCGTCGGCAGCACGGGACATCTTGTTTCGATATATAAATTTTGCAAAGTATATACAGATGTATTTGTAGATTTTTCGGTTTAATTTTTATAAAAAATCACATTGTTAATATACCTACATACATATTATTGTCCTAATCCAAGTGGTATAAATTTGGCAGCGATGTTGGCCTTGATGGTACCCATTGGTACGGAAATACATAATGGTATATTTCCGACACTTCGAATAACGATAATAGGTTATAATATTCGAAACTAATATGGAAAAACTAATGTTCTCGTTCTGGCAATTCGCATTCATTGCCTTTGCTGCTTTTGTTTGGTAAACTGCTGTCTGATTGATGATTAAATCAAGGTTTTTAATTTCGAAACTTATTCTGATCTTTCAAATTTTCATTATTGTGAACATAAAGCAAAAAGACTACAATATGCTGAAAAATAAAGAAAATAATTGTGATAATGAAGAAATATCGGAAGAAAAACGGCGACCTATGAAAATACAGAGAATATAGATGGATGGGAATAAAAACTGTTGGAAAATCTATAGTCGATATTTTCAACTCTGAGTAGCTCTGCAACCGGAGGCTTATTGTGCTGCATCTTCCTGTTTACTGCACCCATTCCAAAACCCTGGTTCCCTGCAGAAGGCGAAGTACGTCTGTTGGATGTTTGCCGTATGTGTCTGGATCTAGTTCATCTTCTACAAATATATTTTGTCTTCTGCGAGTTAGTGCATCGCATTTTGATACTAATATAATATGTTGGGCTGTTTCGGTCTCTGTTCCGCATAGTCTGCAGCTCGTGTCTCCGTTGTACAAGCCCATTGTTTGCAAATACTTCTTTATTGGGGCATGCTTGGTGAGAAAGCCGGTTGCTAAGTACTCTGAGTTGATGCAGTTGTAGCAGTCTTCTTGCTCTGTTACTGCATGTCTCACGTATGAAGATTTTTCCATGTGCATGCTTGGGTATGCTGTGGATGACCTCCTGCGTGCAAGTTCGTCAGCCTTTTCGTTGCCTGTGATACTTCTATGTCCTGGCATCCACATCAATGTGACGTTATTTTTGTCCGCGAAGTTGTTGAGTTCTTCTCGGCATTCTATTACCAGTTAACCAGTGCAGAGTTTGCCTTAGGGTTCTCCAATGCCCCAGTGCTGCCTGACTGTCTGTGAGTAAAGAGAGACTCGTATCTTCCTGCTCTTGTACTATTCTCAGTCTTTCACCCGTCCGAGTACCAGATCTGGCCTTTGAGATTCGAGAGTGTATGTTGGTTTGGTTTTCCCATTTCTCCCTTTCACTAATTGGATTTGGAAAGATATGTCGGGTGAATATTTGGGAAGTGCATAGTCAGTTATCATATCGAATACTGTCAGATTTATGACTTCCCTTATTTGTGTGTGGCCGGGCCTGATCTGACTCCTAGTTTACTCAGGTTGTTTTGTTGTCTGTGCAGGCCCATCCTGGCCTGAATCACAATGTGTAGCGGAAGTAGATCTAGTAGGACTTCCATAGCTGCTGTTGGTGTGCTTTCCTTGCTCCCTGTAATGCCCAGACAAGCAAGTCTTTGCAATCTGCCAAGTCTCATTCTGGCTCTGTCTTGTGTCTTTGTCCACCATATCAAAGACGCATAGGTTATTGCTGGCCTTAGAATCGCTGTGTATAGCCAAAGTGCATCATGTCCGGCCGCAGCACCCAGATTTTCCGAAAGTTCTCCTGGTTAGTATAAGTACCAGTTCTGAACTTTTAATTACTTTGTCCAGATATTTGTTCAAGTTAATTTTGAGTCTATAATTACCCTAAGATATTAAACTTCGTTCGACATCATAACTGGGTTTCCCTGAAGGTAAAGAGGTCCAAGTCCCTCCATTTTCCTTGTTTTGGTAAAGAGGACAATTATAGATTTGGTGGCACTAACACCACTGCTGCATGCGATCTCTAACTGTATGGTTGAATTTTCCCTGGGATATTATGACCAAGTCATCTGCATATCCCACTACTTGATGTTTGTTGCTCTTCAATAGCTCTATCAGCAGATTCCACAGCAGGGGTGATAACACTCCGCCTTGCGAACATCCCTTTGCAACCCGAGCCGTTACTGTTTTACCTAGAAGCGTGGAGTGGATGAATCTTCTTCGAAGCATGCACTCTATCCATCTGCAGCCTGTATCATTAGTACTTCGTCGACGTAGAGTTCTCATGATTGCCTCGAAGGAAGTGTTGTCAAACACTCCCTCTATATCAAGGAAGGCTCCCAACATAACTTCCTTATTTTTCAACGTACTTTCTACTTGCTAGACGAGGTGATGTAGTACTGTTCAGTTGAGGTTCCTGCTTTGTAAGCATATGGTCCGGATGTATTTATTGGTCTGGTAGCCAATGCACCAACCCGAATGTGGAACTCGAGCAGCTTTTCTAGAGCCTTCAATAAAAATGACATGAGGCTTATGGGTCTCAGAGCTTTTGCATTGTCCTGACCTATTTTGCCAGGTTTGGGGATGGAAATAACTCTGATTTCTTTCCAGGCTTTGAGGATATGATTCAATCCCAAGCTTGATCTAAATATTATCAGGAACCTGGAGTATAGCGTGCTATTGCCTTTTTGTAATAATACTGGATAAATCCCATCTGGTCCTGGCGATTTATACGGCTCGAATGAGTTAATGACCCATTTCAGCCTACGCCATGTTACTACTTTTTTTGCCATCAGCCAGTCTTCCGTATTGCCATATCTGGTTGTGGGTAGGTCTGCATAGGGACGGTTTTCGGGGTTTTCTTCAAGCATCACACTGCCCGGGAAGTGTACTCTGTAAAGCTATTCCAGAGTTTCCTGTTCGGGCTGAGTGTAGCTTCCATTTAAGGTTCTTTGAGAACCAATCGTTCCTGGAGAGGATTTTATAGAGCCTGGCACATAGTAGGTATGCTCTCTGGCATTTGTTATATTTAGTCAGAGTTTTACGGTAGAACTCGCTCCACTCTCCTGTTCGGTTTGCTTTGTTGAAAAGTTTCCTTGTTTTCTGAGGTCGTTGTTCCACCAGGGCACATTCTTCTTGGAATTACTCGTGATTGCAGGACAGTTATTCATGTAGGCGGATGTAACAGCGGTCTGCAGTTGTTCCGCCGCTAGGTCCAAGTCTACGGTGCTTCTTATCGTCGTTTTTACGGCCCGGAAATTGTCTGCCTAATAGGCTTCCCAGTGTTTATTCTGCGGGGGTTTCGATAAGTTTTAGTTTCAGGACCTGTAATTTCAAAGCTAATGTGTCCGTGATCTGAATAACTCACGTCATTAGTCACATGCCACTTTTCCACGAAGCCACTAACAAATGTTGTAGATACCGTGGTGTCGAGTAGGTAGGTTTATTTCCCACTTTTAATGTGTCTTTTATTTGCCATAATAAATTGTAGCAGTGACTCACCTCTATTGTTGGTGTTTGTGCTGCCCCATATAAATTACGCATCAATCGAACTTGAACACTCCAATTTTTGATCTTTTTTTGTAAGACTATAAATCAAAATTTAGCAGGCCGATTTTCTTCAAATTTCCAGTAGTGGAAAAATGCTCTAATTGCTATTTAATTTCCAGTTGTTAACAGATTTTCGGCCACCTGCTAAAAGATACAGGATAAAACATAAGTTGGCGATATTTTTGCGAAAGTTTGGGTTCACCCCATTCTGCTGGAGAGAGGGTTAAATATATTTAATTGTACATACTGTTTCGATAAGAAATAATAGACTTCAAAAGCTATATTTTACATAAAATCGCTAACTCTTAATAAAATCGTAGTGGGCTGAGATATACCAAAAATCTACTTAACCCTCCCTCCAGCAGAATGGGGTGAACTCAAACTTTGGAAAAAAAACTTATGTTTTACCCTGTATGTTTCAGCAGTTTCCCGGAAATTTACAACTGGAAATTAAATAGCAATTAGAGCAACTTTCATTCCTGAAAATTTAAACATAATCGGTCTGCTAGATTTTGAGTTATAATTTTACAAAAAGTGACCAAAAATTGGGGTGTTCGTTCTAGTTCGATTGATAACTAGTTTAGTATGGTGCGCATTCGCATCACAACCCATTATGAGTTGCGATCCTTGTGCTCTGCAACTCATTACCAGATTCTGTACTTCCCTGGATGGTGGCTCTTCGGGAATATTTTCTGGAAGGTAGGCCGAGTACTAGCTCCCTCTGCCCACCCCCAGCTGACAATCTAATCTTTACCGATACAAGCTCTGGGAGTTTCAGTTGATTTGCTGTATATTAGCTCTTTATTGACTGCATTTTTCCCTCTACTTAGTGCAATGTCGTACTTTCCCATGGCTGCAGGTTTATTTGATGGACTCTGATCCCCTCCATTGAGACCTCTCAGCACTTTGAAATTCAACCTCGCAAGTCCGTAAAACACCTTGAATTGGTTGGCCCCAAATGACGCCTCTTCTATGAAGTATGTCAGCGTCAGTCCTTTTTTTGCTTTCTTAGACTTCAAAATCCAGTCTGCCTCCCGGTTCTGTTTGCTAAGTGGTGCTCTGATCACTTCTTTTTCAACTGACTCCGCTCTAGGTATGAAGGTCAGCACCAGTGGTCGCTTGGTTTCAACCGATTTCAGGTTTGCCCCCTGCCAGAGTTCTCCCAGTCCCTTCATTGCCTGTCCCAGCCAGTTTTTGGTGGCCTCATTACCGCAGATCATCCATAGAACCCCTGCATGGTGTGTGTGCTTGCCCCTGGCGTATTCAATATAGCCTTCAATTTTTTTTTGATCAGATCTGCCTGCTCTTAATCAATTTTCCGCCCTTGATACACAAGGTTCTAATAAATTTGCTTTTGCTTATGTAGATACTTCGTATTTTCTATTTCTAGAGTTTAATCACATTTCAATTTTGGGAGTGTAGCTTCTTTAAGCGCGGTAGGGTTCGTTTCATGCGATTTGCTATGTGACGAGTCATGCCTCTACTGTCACGTAGTCGAGTAGAGATGCAGTATTCATTAAATATTCAGATAAATTACTATTAAAAAAAATTCCATATTAAATATTATAAGCCTATCATTTCATGCTTGGGCCATATAGTTCGGAAAAATTTGTAATTATTGATTATTGTTAGTGTACGAATTATACCATTGAACCAATTTCCTAACCCCTTTCCTGGTATGCTTATGTGTTTGAAGAAGTTTCACTTCAGTAGCATGAGCATGTTGTGTTGTACTTATTACATGTATTTTTTGTTTTGTTTTTGAACCGTGCATAATTTCGAGACCCAAATAATTAATTGTGTGGCTTATTCAAAAATAAACGATTTCCTATATAACTCCTCGAAGCCACATCAAAGTTCGAAGTTTGTGCCAAAATATTTTAATAATACGGTTTTTATTGGAGGCTTTTATCGCGTCACGGTTAAGAAAAATTTCCATAATAAAGTTTATTGAAAATTTGTGAAATGTGTGTATTACCTATTTGCTTTTATTTGCCAGCTAAATGATTCAGAGTTGGCGGGTCATAAAAATTGGTCGTAAAATTAATTACGAAAATAATAAATCATATTGCTTGGATTTTAATTACGCTATTGTTCTTGATTTCGCTAACCACCAAGTGATTTGTTTAATGTTAGTTGATATGCTATGCACGTGTGTTACAGAAAACTCATAAAGTACAAGTTCTAAGTATTTCAAAAATAATAATAACCATATAAGGTAATATTTTATAAGTATTTTTAAGGATTGAATGAATGACGACATTAATGACGAATTATGATTATATACAGTGTGTCCCGCTTAAGGACTGACCATCCTTTTAAAATTTTCATTTTTCAATCTATTCAATTAATTTTTTTTTGTCTTGTTAGGTATATCTACTCGAATTTGGCACTTATGAAGCTTATAATTTTATTTCTGCGGCTGTACTAATTAGTGTACAGGACGTCCACATTTATAGGCTCAAATTTCATTACGTAGGTACTATTTAGGATTTTTTTCAGAAAAAATCTGATAGCAAATTCTTGTTTAGAATGGTTCAAGACCTCACTAGTTTTGACCCACTCTATCGATTTGTAGTCAAAGTTGGGCAAAACTGATTTGAGCTATCAAACTCAATTTTGCACAGAATTATAGAGAATTTAATGCTCTTTTCAATGGTGTTTAATCTATTTTGATTTGCTTGTTCATGGGGTTCAAGATTTTGAATATTTCCTAGAATCAAAAATAGAATTTTCTTATTGTTTCTGTTTCTGCTTAAAAAGGCAATTTGGAATTGATGTCAGGGTTGTTCTCCATTAAATTGGACACGCTCTATCAATTGGTAAAGTAAAAATTGAGCAAAACTGAAAATTGAAAAAACTGAGTTTTTCATATAAGGTACCACCCTTTGAATTCTAATTCCAAAATCTTCAAACCCCGATTTCTCGGTAACTGTTGAACAAATTGCATTGCAATTTTCAGCATTTGTAGCTCTTATCAAGCTCTAAATGGCCTGTAATTTACAGTATTCTCAAATTTATAGTTTTTGAGCAAATTGAGTTTGAAAATAATTTTTGAGAAAATTTGGATTAAAAATGAACTCTGAGGCTCAATTACTCAAAAACTATTTGAAATATCAAGCTCAATTTTGCACGGAATTATAGATAATTTATTCCTTTTTCCAATGATATATCAATTATTTCAATTTGCTCAAATATCCAACGAAGATCTGGGCAATTATTTCTAACCGTGTCACCAAAAATTAACTTTTTTTAATTAATTTCAATCCGATTCTAACGTGATTAGGTTCGAATTAAAACCCAATTTCTCACTTCAATCAAACGCAAAGCGTGCCCGATCTTAAACACCCTCACAATTCTGAGCACAGTGGGCGAAATCGGAAAATAAATTATGATGTTCTTCATTAAAATACCCAAAAGTGAAGCCAATACCAGAAGAAAGTCAAAAAGGTTCCACGGTACCGTAAAAAGCCGATCATCTTGACGATGGCCTCTGGAATTATTTCAAATTAGTACCAACTATGGACATATAGTAGAAATAGTTCTTACACAATCCAAATACGGATGAAAAAGGCATTGCTAATTTCTAAAATGAAAAACACCGCATTGATCCATTAAATTTCAAAAATATTTTGCAAGAATTTGCTTAGATTTTTTTTTAGTTCCTAATATGGTACTTATTGAAATTTGAGCCCATAAATGTGGTGTGGATACCCTGTACGAAAATATTTTAAAGGTTGAATTACACGAAACCATAGAAAACACATAAGCACAATAATTATTATTGTTAGACATCCAGTTAATAAAATTGTTATCATCCATATTTTCAGTTGGTTATCTTTCTCAGTCTTAAAACACAAATTACTTGCCACTTTTTGAGAATAAATATTAAAGATAAGCAAAGCAAATAATTTGCACCATTTAAGTAATGAATAATAGAAGATTTCTAACTTTAAATTACTCTAAAGTAGGTGGTTGGCAGCTTCAGTTCAGTGTCGAGTTTGGATTAGAGTAAATCCAATTTTATCCTGAATTTATATATTTTAGGTGATTTATGTATTATAAATTTACAGGAATCCTGCATGCTTACAACGTTATTTACAATGTTACAATAAAATTATTTTTGCTTATCATTAATCGTAATTTGGAAGAGTATGACGCGCATTACATTACCAAATATGCATGTATTTTGTTTTTAATTATTCTATTTCTTTTTAGATCGAGGAGGGTGAGAACCGCGGTGCCGAGATGACCGCGGGGCTCGACAGCGCCACCGCAAATGGTGCGCCCAAAAAAAACGACGATGGCGTATTTACCGTATCAGTTACAGGCGCTTACGAAAATGAAGGATTTAAGGTGATTTTTGAATACTAACAAACATCCCGAATTTCTCTGGTTCCCACTTTTACATACACTCCTCGATTTTGCTTTATTATTTTTGTCAAATATTAATTTTTGGAAAATTTAGGGCGATGGAGGCGACCATAAGCCCCATCGAGAACTCACTGACGAGGAAGCGTCGCAACAAGGCAAATTCAAAATGTCCACCAAGGAAAAATGGCGAATTCTCAAGAACGTGACAGCAATCAGTTGCGCGTTCATGATCCAATTCACTGCCTTCCAGGGCACGGCCAATCTCCAGTCCAGTATTAATGCCAAAGACGGTTTAGGAACGCTTTCGCTCAGTTCCATATTCGCAGCTTTAGTCGTCAGCTGCATTTTCGTACCATCTTTCCTTATCAAAAGGCTGACGGTGAAATGGACTCTTTGCATATCCATGTTGTGTTACGCGCCTTATATCGCTTCCCAATTTTATCCCAGGTAAGTTTCTGTATAATAAAATCGAGTAAGGATACTTAACTGTTTGTTGCAGGTTTTACACGTTAATTCCTTGTGGTATTATTGTGGGTATCGGAGCAGCACCCATGTGGGCCTCAAAAGCCACATACTTGACCCAAGTCGCCGGCGTTTATGCAAAATTAACGGATCAGGCAGTGGACGCGATTATCGTCCGATTTTTCGGGTTCTTCTTTTTGGCTTGGCAAACTGCCGAACTTTGGGGAAATTTGATCTCATCTCTTGGTAAGAATATTACACCAATATTGCATCATAAATTAATTACAAAACTTCCTTCTTTTCAGTACTTAGCAATCCTCACGGATCAGACGACGGTCACGGGACAACTGATTACAGCCAATGCGGAGCAAATTTCTGCGCATCGATCAGCAACAGCGAAGAAAGTACCGGAGTGGCCAGTTCTGAGCTCTACGAAATCATGAGCATCTATCTAGCCTGCATCATTTTGGCCGTTTTGCTCATTGTCATGCTGGTTGATCCTTTATCCAGGTAAAAATTATTCTTCTGCATATACGTTTTCAAATTTTCGCACATGGACATCGGAACCCGTTGAACAATGAAGCGACAACAAACGATCGTGTTATTGTTTTTCAAATTGGTCATCGATACGTATTCCGATACTAAAAGATATTGTTCTTGCGAAACGTAGGTATAAGGAGTGGTCCAATTCCAATGGCGTCACCAACGCAAAGAATGCGGCAACAATAATAATAACGAGGCAGTTGAAAATAAAATAATATCGAAAAACTTGAAATCCTTTTGGGCAGTTTTTTTATGGAACTTGATCGCCTTTTAATGTTCTGCTTGCCAATCTTTTCCATAGTATCATAATCATATTATTATTGCTAAATTAATGAGTGATTTCTCTTTCATGTGCTCATTACACTGTGCAAATATTATTATTGATGATAATAATGGCGCACTTGACCTTATATTAATTGCTTTCTTCCAGTGAGATAAAAATATGGCCTCGTCCGTGACTTTAACACCTCAAGAATATTATTTTTTCATAGGCAATTATTATGTAATAGATAAATTAATATCAGGTAAGTATAAATAATGGAAAGGAATTTTTATGCTAAAAAAGGAAATGTTGTCAATAAGGAAACGTTTTTTTAGAAATTTTAACAGCATCAATAGGGAATAAAAAAATTACTTGCAGCAATAGTTTAGAAAAGTTGCAACATTCTTACCTAAATAACATTCGTGTGAAATTAAACTCTTCATTTATTCCTACAAATTCATTAGCCTGGATCATAAAATTTTTGTTTGGCGCGACTTAATTGATCGTTATTTTTAATAGAAAAAAAAAGGGTTTAAATTGCCGCGAGATGATTACATCAAAAGTTCCGCCTGGTACATTTATTGTTGCTTTAAGTCATTTTCGAGGCTAAATAGGTATTTCTTTGATCTTAAAACATTCTAGTCCACTAAGAATCCGTCGGTTCTTGGAACATATCAGATGGACGTTGATCTGTTGATGAACACAAGAAAGAGGTAATTTGAAAGATAATTTTTTATCCATCAATATTACTATACCTAATAAAAACAGTTTGGGTATACTGATCAAGATCCGGTTTTAGACAAAACGTAAATATCTTGTTGTTTATTGATTTTGTTTTTAGATGAGAAACAGAAAATATACTTATTGAAAATTACGACCTGTTATATCGGGTCTTCAAAAAAAAAACAATCAAAGATTGCTTTGGTTATGAAAACGTATGTCCCATTATTGTTTTTTTATTGGTCAGGATTTTTGACATGACATTTTGACAATAAATTCCATTGACTGCCATTGTCAAAATTAAAGAAAAATATTGCTAAGACGTACGTTTAAAAAACCATAGCAATCTTTGATTGGTTTTTTTTTTGAAGACCCGATACATACTTTATTTCATGAGGGTTTGTACTTTTGACATCATTTGGTTTCCTTTCTCAACAAATGAAAAATGACTGAAACAAACTTTCACTGAATTTTATCCCAATCAAGGGACTACAATCCCTAAAAATTTCAGCTCATTTGCACTTATAGTTCTTGAGATAAAATCGTGGTAAACAATTTGGGGTGATTTATCAATTTTTCAATTTTTCTGAGTGCCTTTTTTCATAGATTTCGGCTTCAAATCTGAGAATAATGTCACAATAATTCGCTAGATTCTAGTATCTTCGCCATCGATTCTTGACAGCCTGGCGGACGTTTAGCATTATTGTGACACTAATTTAGTGTAAAAAAATTTGAAATTTCATCGTTTTAGTAAAAAGGTACCCCCCTTATAATTTTTTTGGAAAACTTTGGAAGGTCATAACTTGTTTTCTATTATGGATAGAAAGCTGAATCTTTCACTGAATTTCATCATTTTCAAAGGACTACAATCCCTGAAAAATTCAGCTCTTGCACTTATAGTTCCTGAGATAAAATCGTGTTAAGCAATTTGGGGTGATTTATCAATTTTTCAATTTTTCTGAGTGCCTTTTTTCATAGATTTCGGCTTGAAATCTGAGAATAATTCAGTGTATGGAGTTTAGGGGATGTTGATTGACCATTAGGATATAAAATCTCGACAAAAAAAAATTTGAAATTTCATGGTTTTAGTAAGAAGGTACCCCCCTTATGATTTTTTTGGAAAACTTTGAAAGGTCATAACTTTTTTTCTATTATAGATAGAAAGCTGAATCTTTTACTGAATTTCATCATTTCTAAAGGACTACAATCCCTGGAAAATTCAGCTCATTTGCACTTATAGTTCCTGAGATGATAAAATCGTGTTAAGCAATTTGGGGTGTTTTTAAAGGGACTACAATCCCTGAAAAATTTCAGCTCATTTGCACGTATAGTTCCTGAGATACAATCGTGTTAAGTAATTTGGGGTGATTTATCAATTTTTCAATTTTAAGTAAAAAATAACCTAAGTGAATGGCTGTTATGTAATTTGATGGCTGTTTCTCGACAAAAAAATTGAAAAATTCGGCATTTTTTGGAATTTCGGATACAAAACAGCCATTCACTTAGGCTATAATTAGCTTCTAATTGACTACTTCAATGAATCACCTGTAACTAGTAGGTATGTAGGATATACCGGGTGTCCCACCGAAAACTGTCAATGGCCTATATCTTGAAAACGGTAATCGATAAAAAAAATAATGAAAAATCTGTTTAGAGGGTTGGAAGGGGGAACCAAAATAAGGTACTTTTCAGGTCTCCCTGAAACACCCCTCTGGCCGTAGCTACCCTAACCTCAAAATCTTAAATGGCACTATGAGTCATGTGATACCTTGATTTAAAGGTTTTTCAATTCTCTTAATGGATCTGCAAAAAAAAATTTATTCAGATTTGAATGTGACTCCCATTCTGATGAAAACCTCATTTGATCGGGTGGAACAGGGAAATGTGATTTGAAATCGATTTTATACAAATTGAATAACAGCATGAATATTTTTGAAGAAATCATCATGATTTTATTTTTTTGAACCCCTTTTCACTCACTGTACCTGACAGCAGATTCGTTTAGAGAATTAAAAAACCTTTCAAACAAGGTATCACATGACCCATAGTGCCATTTAAAATTTTGAGGTTAGGGTAGCTACGGCCGGAGAGGTGATTCAGGGAGACCTGAAAAGTACTTTGTTTTGGTTCCCCCTTCCAACCCTCCAAACGGGTTTTTCATTTTTTTATCGATTACCGTTTTCAAGATATAGAGCATTGACAGTTTTCGGTGGGACACCCGGTATATATAGATGACAAAGTCATGTGAAAATCATATTCTTTAAGTCAATTTTACAATAATAATTTTAATTTATTTCCTACTGAACTATTATAACCATTATAATGCCTTGGTTACGATAATCATATATAAACAGGGTCTTAACTCCCAAGGGAGTTAAGGATTTCCATAACTCCCGCTTTCACCTTGAATAGGTGAAACTTTGACAAAAAATTGACATTTTAGTTTATGGTTTATTTGTTTATAAAAATGGACAAAATACAGTAGGAAATAAAATTATCTATGTAGGTACCACGGGAATTATCAGGTGTTAATACCCACGGGCAATTGGCCGAAGGCCCTCGGGACACAAACTTTGCCCTGGTGTATTAACACCCTCATATTTCCCTTGATACATAAATAACTATTAAAGTATTTCTATTAAGATCTCAAGCTCCATTGCAAATAATGACATTTATACCAAGCAATAAAAAAACTGTCCAATTATTATACTTTACGTAACTAATTAATTATTTGCAGTAATGATTGCCATTAATGATTAGTGTTGGATGAATCTTTTAATGATTGCTAATAATTAATGCATTGATATGACCTTCAGGAATATCGTATCTTCTTATAAGTACCCAGTTCCTACCTGTTTACTTTGACTGCTGCATTTTCCGTTTCTAAAGTTAATCTGTGTTTTGACTCGTCAACAAACCGTTTAAATTTGTATTTTTGTGTGCGACATTTTAAAAATTGTGAATAAAAACTAAGATATTTTGTCTTAGTGTGCCCAATTTATAATTAGCAGAATAGGTACATATGTGTATTTTTTTCTAACCCACAAACCACAAATTACGATGTCTAAATACTGGCGACCCAATCAAAAAACAGAAAACAACGAGATTCTTTGAAAAATGCCGGAAATGATCTTATTCTCTCATTTTGAGGGATAATTTTTATAAATGTATTATGGATCTGGTAAACACACAACTTGCCTATAATGCTAAGAAATTGTTCAAGTTGATTAAATCCACGGCTGTTTTGCATAAAATCATAATTTTCTGATACAGGGTGAGGCCTTTCATTGACAAAAAAAATATTTATGCAACTACGAGATCATAAAGCTATTATATAATGTGTTTTGCATTCAGAACGCCTACTATTGAGGTATAATAATAAAATATAATCCAAATCACTCAGATGTGAAATGGATTATTAAAGCGAGTGGTCCCCCAAAAAAAAACACCCCTAATTTTTAAGTATTTTTATCTGTTCAAAGAATGATGGATAGGGAACAAAGGCGAATGTTATCTCACAAGTAATATGTATAAGCAATTACACGATGTCAGTTTTGCTTCCTTATTGTTGTTGATTGTTATTTTTATCTACATGTTATCATCATTAGTGACATCAGTCTGATAAGTGTAACTATTAATCTACTCAAATTGATTTAACACGGAGATTTTTATCGATTGCGGTATAAGAAATAATTCTTACTTATATGAATTAAGACAGTTTCTTAAGAACTTGGGTTAAGCTTGGTACATGTTCGGATGTGAATTTTTCTAAAAACCATCCATAAATTCAATTATATAAGTAAATAAACACAAATACCAAGGCTGACGTTTACAAATACCATCTGCAGATTTTGTAACTTCGAGAGTCCGGCGCGGAAGAAAAATCTTCATTTAACTGGTCAGATTACCATAAATTGCGAATTACCTACTTACTCGGTGTATACTAATAGGCGCCAGACTTATTTTTAGCTTTTTAGGTGATTAAATTACCGTTTTATAATTAAAATTTTTGCAGATATGGCGAGAAACAGAGAAGAAACAGTGGCGCCGCCGAGCTTAGCGGCATCCAGCTTTTGTCCGCCACTTTCATACAACTGAAAAAGCCTTATCAGCAATTGCTCATTCCCATGACTATCTATATTGGTGTGGAACAGGCTTTTATCAGCGCCGATTTTACCCAGTCTTATGTATCCTGTGCTCTAGGTAAGTGATGATATCTTTTGCTCAAAAACCATAAATGCTGAAAATTTCGATGTAATTTGCTCATCGGTTACCGAGCAATTTTTTTTTCAATTTTGACTTTACCAATCGGTAGAACGGGTCAAAATTAGTGGAAAACAACCCTGACATCGATTCCAAATGGCCATTTCAAGCAGAAACAAGAATAAAAATCAAATCTTATTTTTGACTCTAGAAAATTTTCAAAATCTTGATATGGTCATGAGTAATTGCCATATCTTTGTTGAGTTTCCAGTAAATTAGAATAAAATATACACCATAGGAAAGAGCATTAAAATCTCTATAAATCCATGCAAAATTGAGTTTGAGAGCTCAATTGACTTTTGAGCAAATGAGCCTCAAAGTTGACTTTTAGTCCAAATTTTGTCAAAAACTCAAATTACTCAAAAACTATAAATATAATATGTTAATTGAATTTATTTCAGGTGTACAAAATGTCGGTTTCGTAATGATCTGTTTTGGTGTGGTAAACGCCATCTGCAGTTTGCTCTTCGGCAGCGTCATGAAATACGTCGGAAGAGTACCGATCATGATTCTCGGCGTCTCGGTGCACTTTGGCGTCCAAATATTTTTGCTGCTGTGGAGACCTCATCCAGAAAGTCCAATTTTGTTCTTCATGGCCTCTGGGTTGTGGGGAATTGGCGATGCTGTATGGCAAACCCAAGTTAACGGTGACAATAATTTGTTTCTAGTTATTCGAATCTCTGCTAAATACGTTTGTTTTTCATAGGTTTGTACGGTGCCCTCTTTAGAAGAAATAAAGAAGCAGCTTTTTCCAACTACCGTTTATGGGAATCGGTTGGTTTTGTTGTGGCTTACGCCTATTCGACTCAGCTTTGCGCTCGCATGAAGCTCTACGTACAATTAGCCTGCTTGGTAATAGGTAAATAATAATATCTACTTTTTGCTCTAACTTTACGAATTGCTCACCAATTTTGGTTTCTTGTAGGTTTCCTTCTGTATTGCATTGTTGAAATCCATCACATGCGCAAAATTAGAAGGCAAAAAGAAAAAGAAAAGAGAGCTGCAGAATTGGCGGCACAGAGACAAGCAGCTATCGAACAAGAACCAGAAACGACAGATGATGAAAAGGACGACATCGACGATGAAATAATTGTCACGCATTTGTAGACATTCCACATTGGACACTGTTTTTTTTTAATGGGGGCCAGTGCATGATGCAAAAACGCAAAACGAGATTTTCCCATCGTTACACAGTCAATTATAGATGATTTTAAAATCAGTATTTTTCTTTTCTAGTAGATTTTTATTTTTATTAGCATTTCATCAGTTTATAAAAAAATGCTATTATAGAAACAATTGTAAATATTTTTAGTTAGTGTTTAGGTTTTAATAAACGAAATTATGAAACTCAAAATAATAATCTTGAATCTGATGTCAGCACAAATATTTATAAATAATTAACTTTTTATCACTGCTACAGTCTGTGATGGATGAAAGAAGATTACTTACCTATTATTACAAATTAAATTTGTTGTGCCATTTTGTTCTATTTGGTCCCAGTTACGATGAAACTAATCTCAGCCTCAGCGAATTAAATTTACAAAATTTACAAAAAATTCATTATAGGGATAAGAGAGAGAAAGAGGAATTTTTTTGTTGTTACATAGGTTTATTTATAAATATTTTATTTTATTTTCTGATACCTTGTTATATCTTTTTTTTTTTGAGGAACCTCCTGTACAGTTAGATAATATTGTTGGTATATTTTAAAATGTATTCTCAAAAAAAAAATTGTTAATTTACCCAACACTCAGTATTCTCAAAGCAATACTGTAGAATAATAAAGATATTATTTCAAGTCATTAGATTTCGATGTTTTTTTATGCATGGCTACCCTATCAGAGGGAATAAAGCCTTTAGAAAATTTTCCAATAAAACAAAAAATGTGTTCAGTTCACACAAGGTTGAAGTTTCCTATCGTTATTTTTAATTTTAAAATTTCAGCTTATTTGGACTAGTAGCAAATAGTTCCTGAGAAAATCGCGTTATAGTCTGGGAGACGATCGCATTTTTCCTACCCCGATCGAGTTATGCGTCGACACTATTATCAATATACAGGGTGTCCCAGAATATGTGGGCAATCTCTCGAATTTAGATAGAACGCAAAAAAATACCATGACAACTTCCTATAAAAAAAAATTCCTACGGCTCCCCCTACAAAGTTACAAACCCCTAAAGGACGCCTCTGAAAATCGGTTTTTTGTTGATAACTTTCAAAATACTTCGTGTAATTTTTTTTTCTTTCAATATAATGGATACTAGATAAGACCCCTTAAAATGGACCCTTTCAAACACACTTGGCCAATCTAGTTTGCCAGGGACGGACTAGCTTTAACTCAATATTCTGTATTTTCAATAGCTGCTAAGGAATCGATGGATAACAGTACGGAAATCACTTTTTCGGCTTAGGCCGGGACAGTGTGCTGATTTATAGGAACAACACAGAAGCATTCCCCATTTTTCTCATTACTGAGCGATCGCCGAAAAAATAGTATGTGTATTTCAGGGGAAAAGCACATTCTCGGCCTCTGATGTTTGCTGGCCTCGGCTGCGCTTCGCCCGTCAACTTACACCGTTGGCCGAGGATGTGTCACTTTTCCACCTAAATCCACAATATACTGAAGACTTCAAAATAACAGTTTTTGGGCGTGGCAGCCGTGGCACCTAAACTTTGCCTAAACATAACTCCGGCGAGGTCAATGGCGGGCGGGCTGATCAAGTGCCAGTACTTTTGCTCTCATTTGACAGCCGATAAAAATAAACAGGGGTTTGAATGTGCTCTACCCACGAATTATGTCTTATTCGATATATTATGACGTAGCTGACAATGGTGGAGATGTTCTAGACAATATGGCGAAGGTGGAGAAAAGAAAGATGAAAAGGTGGGGGTGTGGTTGGGCGATATAAGTTGTGAATTTTTTGCGAAATAAATAAAACTTTGTATACCAAGAAAAGTGTTGCAATATGATTAAATTGTCTACAAAGAGGTTTGAGTGAAAATTTCGATAGTTGTCCTATTTTTGTGCTACCAGCCTTCAAATTTGAAATTTTCTACGAAATCTGCTGCAAACGTTTGATAAATACCAGTCGTAGACAAATAATTTATTGAACTTTCTTGTAGAACTCGTAAAAAAAATCCTACGAGTTGTATAGTAATCGAGATTTCGAATAGATTGCGTATTTTTGAAAATGGGAGCATCTGTGGTGACGTCATACTTATACTGAAAACCTACCTCTAGACATACATGTAATGTAAAACATAATTTAATTTGCAGCAAGATTTTCTGAACTGAAAGCTGAAAGTGAAGAGAAATGTATAGTTAAAGTAAAATAATAAATTACATTTATTTATTAAATAAATTATTTGCTTCTTTCTTGTACTAAACCTAACAACTGACAATCAGCTTCCAGTAGGGTGAGGTCTTTTTCAAATCCAAGAAATTTGGTTGATAGCTCTAATTCTTTAATGCGTAGTCTAACTTTAGTCCCTCTCACATAGTTACTGAAAATAATTAAATAAGTACTAATTACTTGTGAAAATCGATGTTACCTGGCATTTTTGATTGGTCTAGGACAAACACAATGGAACTTCCAACCAAAATCTATATACAAATCATCATCTACTGTGTGAAATATTTTTCCTGTTACTACTTTACCTTCTGGATCGCCTAGCTGTTAAAAAATTCAATTATCATCAACCATAGCTTTGCAGCTAAATACTTACATCTATGAATTTTGAGTTTTTTAACAAGCTGACAAACGGTTCGGACTCCTCGGAGGTGGGTTTGTTTAAATCTTCAAACTTTTTAAAGGCATTTGCATAAGTTCCAGTTTTAGCTTCTAAAACAACTGCTGAGTCTGATAACCTTCGGCTAATGGGACTTAGGAATTTTATTGATAAATGTCTTAAAAACATTTTAAATATTTAAGAGAATTCTATTGCAATCCCTAATCAATGCCAATCAATGGTAAAATGGAATATTTTGAAGTAACATGAACATAAATCAACAAAACATACATAACCTTCTTAATTAGATTAGGCAATCCAATCCATCTGTCAAAAAGGAAAATTTAATATGGCGTGGCGGCCAAGCAGGTTTGTTTTGAATATGTTTTTGCGTATTTCAAATAATTATTCTGCATAGAGTTTTGCTTGTAACTGATTTTGATTATTTAATAAAATACTTGTTGACTAGGTACCTAAACTATTAAGGGCGGCTATTATAAAACTATTTTGACAGAATAACTTAAAGTTAACTTCTAGAATGACGTTACTTTTCATGGTTATTCCAGAAGTAAACTTTTAATTATTCTGTCAAAATAGTTTTATAATACCCCGCCCTAAAGCCTAGTACTCATAACTGCGAAATTCGCATTTTTTTGACATTGCATCGACAATTTGACGTTTGATACACGCATTAAACGTCAAATTGTCAACGCAATGTCAAAAAAATGCGAATTTCGCAATTATGAGTACTAGGCTTAAATCGGGCAGAAACCATATTCTTTTTGTATTTTTTGGCCCCGGCCCATGTGTGGCAGCCACGCCATCATAGAAAGTAGAAAGATGAAAACGAATTCTGAAAAAGCGTTGTTTTACAGCGAATTCCATTTGTAGAATCAGTGCAAAAAAAATGTATCCTTATCCTTATATAGGATAAAGATGCGGATACACTCAGTGCGCACTGATTGAAAAATGAAAACCGCCAATTAGAACATGTACTAGAAAAAGGATTGCCTAATGCCACGGTGTACGGTGTAACTTCGCATTGTTAGTTCTGCAAGAAGAGAAGACGCAGTACAGGGTGTGTAGAGCCAAACACCATCTTTAGAAGCCGTCTAGGGCTTCCAATCCAGGGGGCCCTCCGAATCGCCAAAGGCCCCGAAGTAGGCGACATCTATGATCAATTTTGGTACTCAAACTCAATAGGGAATTCTCATAGGAAATAAATATGGCTTATTTTGTTTTTATGGTGCATATTTTTCTGTAAAATATTGAATATAAATAGTTTTGTATTTAATTTATGGATATTATAGTCATACGGCAATTATTAATTTTAAATTGAAAAGTTTCGCGCGGAAAAGTCACGTATAACATGGCCGCTTCCAGTGACGTCAACTGTTCGTAAACTAAGGTTAAGGGTAGTTTACATTGATCGTAAATCCACGGTCCACACTTTCGTGGTTCACTCTGGAGTCGTGGAACGATTGGTCCACGATCAGCTCACGTCACGCCACGACTGTTATTGAACCACCATAAACGAGTCTCTAGAGGGAAGATTGTCAGACTGCGCTTTTGTAAATCCTGTATCAACCATGATGAACTATTTGAAACACAAAATGTCACAATATGGCACTAAATACGGAAATACCACATAATAACCGCTTTCAAGTTTTATTGCAGTCGAAAGTTCAAGCTATACGATTCTTTCCGACAGGTTGCAAAGTGTCAAAGGCTCTTGTGAGAACAGACCTTAACGTTGTGTTTACAGACAGTTGACGTCACAAATTCCACCATCTTGGAGCTAATCGTTTTCGCGCCAACGAAAATAATTTGAAATTTAAAATATTTTTTTTATTTTAATGAGGACATAAAACAAAAAAAACATATACATTTTATATTTGAAAACATAAGCAATAAGAAAAAAAATACTTTGAAAAATATGATTGTTCCCTATTGGCCCCGGCATTGGAAGTTTTTATTTTCTACAGAATAATATCACAGCATATATAATATTCTTTATGTATTGTTTCTGTTATATAAATTAACTTCATAATAATATAGGGTTCATAATTTGGAAGGGTCAGTTAAGTTAGCCCCCCCCCCCCCCATAGAAAATTTCTGGATGAAAATTATCCCATAATTTTGCTCTCATTTTGCTCCACTAATTTCGATTTTTGCTCCATTACAGTGGAGAGACAGTGGAGAGACTATGTGGCTCCATTACCAGGAGAGACCTCTATAGGTCTATAGCTTATAGCTCCCAAAAATCTATCCTAGCCCCTCCCACCCCCCAGTGAAATTTTTTAAATTTGAACATGTTCATTTTGTTCACCAAGTTTTGCTCCGTTTTGCTCCATTTTTGGCGAGTTTTGCTCCATTTTTGGCGAGTTTTGCTCCATTACCAGGAATGAACTCGTTTTGCTCCATCATGAGCAGTTTCCGAATGCCACGCTTTGAGCGCTCAGCGCTTTCGAGTTAGTCCGAAGTACTCCGGCTACAATTTCACACATTCTCGAGCGAACAGAGTTTGGCGCTCTCAACCTGCTCTCACCTCACTTTCCTCGCCTGGGGCCTAGGGAGGATTTTCATGCATCCGTTTTTCCGTCGAAATATGTCCGTTTAACAAACTATTCTGACCTATTTATATACGATTATGTAGCCATTCCTGAATGCAGCCCAGGAATCTCTCCTTGCAACACGTGTGAACATTTTGGAGTTTCTATATGCGCATTTTGTTCTCCGAGTTTTTATCCATTTTGCTCCCTGATCGGCGAGTTTTGCTCCATTACCTGGAATGATCTACGAGCTCGTAAGAATATCTCTTATCCCCCCCACACCAGTGAAATGAAAAGTTTGTTTGATGTTTGATCATACTCATTCTGTTCTCCAAGTTTCGCTCCGTTTTGCTCTATGATCGGCGAGTTCTGCTCCATTACCTGACCTGCTTTCGGGTGCCACGCTTTGATCACTCAGGCGCTCTGAAGCTGCTCTCATTTTCCTCGCCTCTTTTTCCTGATGCACCTGTAACTGATTTTCGAACGTTTTGTTTGTTTATTCGCACCTGTTGGAGCCTCCGAATATTTATCAGTGGACTGTATCCCAAATAGCAGCCAACTCTGCCATTTCCCTAAAATTCACCTAAAATTTGCTGCTCACACCAATTGGTTCCAATTAAAATCCAACATTTGATTGAACTTCTATTTAACTTGATTTCTATAAAATACTTCCGGTGATTACATAGAGCAGATTCCTCATATATTTATTTTACAATAATATTTTTTCTATTTTCTATGGTTTCTCGACAAACGAATAAAAGGTATACCTAACAACAAAAACATAATGCGATGGGATGAGATGATGGCAGGTTTTTCCAATAAGGCATCGATTACACTCAAAGGCAAGCCCGTA